AAAAACAAAGACCCAGTGAATTCTAAACGCTGAAAATAAAGTATAAGTATCACAAATGGGCACCTATAGAAAATTGTCCTCCCCAAATTTAAATTTTGGAATTTGAGGAAGATAAAAGCTTTTTTTAGAGTGATGACATCCTATACCGAATCAAACTTTATGACGACGTTGAAAAATTGTACAGGAATACAATGGAAGGGTAAAATTGGAAAAACATTTTGATCAAAACTAGTTACGACACTAGTAACAAAAAAATTAAGTCTAACTTAGGAACTTTCAATAACCTAATTAACTTTCAATGAGGCAAAAGTATTCGATATACGCGAACTATACAGGGAGACAGCTAAAAACGAATTACTTTCAACACTGTCTCGTTATGAATCTATCCTAAGAAACAAGCTAGATCTTACACTAGACACAAACATTATAACCACGTGAGGGCTTCATTAGAAAAAAATCAACATATATAAATCTAGGTTAACAGCGAAAGATTTTCAACAAAAGAATGGACTGAACTTCCAGAAAACATATTCCCGTATAACTCAAATGCTCCCTTCGATTACTTCTGCCCGAATATTAAGCTAATGCCAATCAAGACAGCAGACAAAACCATTGCATTTTTACATACCAAACTAACGAAACCTGTTTACATATGCATATCACAAGGTTTATCCTAATAAAAACCCCTTGAATCCTCTTCATAATTGCTAACTAAACGCTACAATTAATAAATTAAAGGCGCTATTAAAATAAATGTAGTCTTATGCAAACTAAAAGACTCAGCTCGCCTTTCCCAGGAAGACCTTCCACGAAGAATTCCAAAGTACGGTTATGTGCAGAATCAAATCTATGAATGTATATTTGATATTAGAAATCTTAAACCATTGTTGATATTTATGTAGACGAATGTATTGATTTTTTTGTTAGGTGTTCACGAATCTTCTTAAAAAATATATATGAAGAATACTATATAAAGGATGATTGCGGTACAGAAAGTATACTAGGAATTAACCTTTATCATAGTAACCATAAAAGTATAATAAACCAAAGTAATAAAATTGAAAAATTTGGCGGACGTTTATAGAATAGATACCAAGAGATATAAAATACCGTTGCTTACCTACACCCATTAAACTACAACCAGCTTTCGGGCAGAATGAAACTATACTGGAATACTATCGACTCATGGGCACTATGAAAAACATAGCTGATACTACTAGACCTGACATTGCTTACGCTGCAACATTACTTGGACGGTTCATGCACGGCTATAACGCCACCCATGTAGAAATGGCAAAAAAATTGTTAAGCTACCTTCATCAAACAAATCACCAAGTCTAGAAGTGAAACGTTCCCCCAAAACATATGACAACCCATCGCATGTGCTATATGGAAGCTTCCTGGGTTGGTAACCATAAATACCGTACAACGGTGAGACATGATACTCGTAAACAGAAACCCTATTTCTGGAATTTTAAAATAGACAAAAGAATAAAAGTAGACACTAAAATCATTCTGTGAGGCGGAATCCAAGGCACTCAGCAAGTCGATTTCATATACACAGACAGTAACAAACCTTTTAAACGGATTATTACACAAATGACTAATCAGAATACTATTTTACACCGGCCATGAGGCAGTGAAGAAACATATATCGAGGAGACGCTTCCTAATAAAAGAGTTCGGCACTGGAAATTTCATATCATCAAGTGAAACAAGAAATGCACCGAGAAAATCATCGATTTAATATGGAACAAAAAAGTCAGACCATAATATGGAGTTATATTAAAAATTACACGTACACTAGACAAAGTAAACCATAAAGAAATCATAATTAATAAATAAACCAATAAAAAAAATATATCAAACATTTTTTCAAATGCTTCGCGGACCTGACTAATTTTAAAAAAAATTGTTTTGTTTTAAAATTGAGTAGTCCAATTAAATATAATAATTTTATCTGCTTGTACTAAACCTGCAAAGTAAGCTGCAAAAATACTTATATATAGCAAGAAATTGCTTTCTAAGTAAGCAGAATTCTTATGAAGCTATCAAATATTTATTAAAAACGATATCTTTTTTTCTTTTACTTTATCATAAACCTTTGAGGCACGTTCTTTGAACTATCAAAGTGGGCTACAATGGAAATAAACAACCAACCCGTAGTGAGTACCATACCTTCTCATGACCAAAAAATACTAAGTTCGAGGAGTGGTGTGAACTAGAGCAAACTCGGTATATATGTAAATAGGAGTTAAGTTAAGTTGCACTTAGCAAAGCAACAGAGGAGTTGAAAGTCATCCAACCCCATTAAGCTTAATAGGTCGCAACTCATAAAAAAAGTATGAACAACCAGTATTCGTGAACAAATAAATTAAGGTTTTTTGGTGTACTTTGACACATTTCTATATGTAATGTTCGTGGTTATCCTGGCTACGAGCACAACTTAATTTGGAAGTATACTTATAGAAATAAATAACCGGTCCAGAGAAGCTACAACGCACATAAGATCATAGACTTCAATAGAATTCTTAGCAATCTTACACTTCATAGGTTAAAAGAAACGCTTTGTAAATTTAAAACGGGAATCCGTAAGGTATCAAACGAAGTTGTACGTTAGTTTTTGAAGGTTTTCATTTCTTCATTGTACTTAAAACGTTTCTAATAAAGTGCAAAGTCGGGCAGTACTTTTTTAAGGGCATTCCATAAAGCTATAAAACCAAATGGTTCAAGTAATTTAGCACAGAAAGGAAAGCAGAATCCTTTCTGAGCTTCTTGCAAGGTGCTGCAGGACTCGCAACAATACATCTGTTCGCCTCGTAACGTTTTTAAAACAAGCGAACTTGAGAAATTAAATAACAAATAGATGGAATACCGCCTGTAGCTGAAAATTTTCTTTAAACAGAGAGTAACACATGAGTTTTTTAGTTCAATATCAACTGGGGCAAGTTCAAAAATGATTCGCCTTTGCTAGAAACTGAGAGAAAGGGGTAAGATGTGGTTGAAATTCCATTGAAGCGCTAATAATACAGTCTCATAACAGAGACACCTAGTCTCATTGGACAGTTTTCGAGGGTGGCTAAGATGAGTAGTATTCTCGAAAACGCTTGGGTAATTAGAAGTGTTTTCGGAACGTCTAAACTAGTCAGGTGTTAAGCAAAAAAAAAACCTTAGAAGTTCATTTGCATCTTTGTGTTGAGAATTGTTAAGTGATTATATATTTCATCATATCTAAAAGTCATTTAAGGCAAGAATCCATTCGGTGTAAATATTCTCTACGTTTTAAGCGAAATATAAATTTCTTAGGGGCGTGAACAACTGTGCGCCCTCGTTTTTGAGAAATACTTGAAAAAAAGTCGGAGATAAGAGAGAAGGATTTCTCCTTTACTTTTCGAGTATGGAAGTCGTCTTAATGTGCGAAGAGAACAAAGTATTGAGACTTTTGCAATAGTTCGTGTTAGTGTAGCTCGCAAGTACGTGCTGTTGTGTCTTGACGGAATGGAAGGCAGAAATAAAGAGCCTTTAGGAAAAAGTTGCAGTTTCGTGTTGTCAAACTTAAAAAAGATAAAAAATATTAGTTGAAAATTTGTATAAGTTTTAAGAACGAAAAGTTAGTAAGCTCTACAGATTTAACCTTCAAAAAATTGTTAACGAAACTTATTATAAGACAATAGAACGGAAACTAATAAGAACTATGTAAAACGATAATATATTTCTTGCAAGTATTTATTTGTTTTTATAAGCTACATTATAAGAAATATAAAAATATAGGCAAATTTGAATACGTTTCCTAAGCCTAAATAGAGTTCACGCTATGGAAAGGTGAAAACCTCTTCCCTAAATTAGAGTGAAGAGGTCCCTAGAAGAAAGAAATTTTTCTTTTAAATATTTTATAGCAGTATTAAAGAACAAAAGTTTTTGTTTAAATTAATAACAAATTTACAGCAGAGAAGTAACCATAAAAAGTTTTTAGTTATTTTAATTTGTACAATAGTTAAGTGCTAATCCTGGGCATTCCAGATCGATATAAACCGCAAAAGTGTTAAGCAATGTTTTAGTGTATTGGGACTCCATAACTAAGAATTGCTTTTTAAGAGATTGTTTTTAGCAAAAGATGTATACTTAATTTATTAGCCAAGAGAGTTAATGGTCACTTTCGCGGGTTTGATGCCCGTCAGTGCAGTTCACACTTTATGGTCTTTTTAAGTACGGGTATGACTATTCATAAAAAAAACCTTCCGAGAATGCCTCAGGAAAATGACTATAAAATTTTAAAAGGAAGGAAAGGTTAGCGAAACTAGTGAATTGTAAATGAAAACATGCTTTACAGCATAAAAAATTTCACACAGCTAGACCGCTATCTCATCGAGCTGCAACTTAGACTAGTCTTAAAGCTCGGCATCAAGTTTGCTTCTTAGATAAAAAAATTATTTATGACGTTATCTCTACAATATTCTTCTTGGTCCTTTAAATTGCAACAACTACCAAGACTCATGTAAATAATTAAAACTTTTGACAGGAACCTAGCTAACTGAGTTTATGTTAGTTGGTAAGCAGCAAATAAAGGTAAAGGTTATTGGCTAAAAAAAAATTTTAATAAGAAATTTATTTTACTATCGAAAATTTGGTATATACGTACTTTTTAATGTTATAACAAAAGTAGAAGTAAATAAAATTTACAACTTTTTTATTTCCTTTTTTCTGTTATTCCCTTATTAAGTAATACTTATAAATTATACATATTCATCTAGTTTTTTTTGTCACTTTTCGCAAACTCAAGGCCGAGGTTTGAGGCCCGCCCACTCGATTGTTTCTTCCCTTTTTTTGATGGTTACATATTTAACCTCACACTTAAAAATCCTAATATATTATTGAGGGTTAACGCAAAAGTATTTACTTTTCCAAAAAATTGTAACTTACATGGTACGCCTATATAAATCGCCTTTAACTAAAAAGAGCAATTTTTTCTTTTTCATGAGGTATGTATGAAATTTTTAAAGCTTTGAAATTTTATGTAAAGTTCATTGAAGTTCACTCACAGTTTAGCAGACCTCTACATTTGCTTGAAACGTACTCAAGTAGAAAAAAATTGATTTTAAATATTATTTGTAAAAATCACTATTCTATGCACCACATTTTAATTATAAAAAATCACCATATTAAAAGTTATAACCTCCGACCTAGTACTAACCTCACAAAACTTAATTATTCTAGTAAATATATAACTACAAAAGCAGCTTATACAAATATTTTGTTTGAAGCAAGTAATAAAAATTCGCTTAAAGGAGCCTGGGGGTATAAAAAAAACGTGATTTTCAACTTTAATTTTTCTAGTAAAGCCGAGACTAACCGTATTTTGCTAACGGAAAGGTGCGCTAAGGTAATCGACTTAGAGCCTTTTACTTTTCATATAGTTGCCGCTAAGCTATATCCGCCTTTTTTTCCCTTTCAGTTTGTTTAAAATAATAACTATGATTATTCAAGCGGATTAATTTCATAAGAGAAAAAGATCAAGATTTCTGTTTAAGAATTGAAGTAACCGGGGGTGGTTGCCAGGGATTTCAGTATATATTTACGTCCGAAAGACTTTCTAGTATTGGAATGTTTGACCGGTTTGTTCTTTCAAGCTTTTTATGTACTCTTCTTTAGCTTTAAGTTGAGGACTGCTATCTAACACTTTTTTAGTTCCTTTACCAGGAACGGTGCTACTGTTGTAATAGATTCCGAATCCCTATCCGTTCTTAAGGGCTCCACTGTGGACTACAAAGTGGTAATATTATTTCTGATATCTCAATTCTACCACTCTTTTCTACCCTTATTCTGTATTCAAGGATCTCATGGGGGCTGAATTTGTCGTCTCTCAAAATCCTAACGCCGCAGGATCTTGCGGTTGCAAACGATCTTTTAGTGTGGATCCTTAAAGTGCACTTTCTAAGGTAAACCCCATAAGAAAGAATAAGGTAAAACTAACATTTAGTATAATTGTTATAAACAACTAATAAATTAAATAGTAGGTCGTAAGACCTTTTGATAATATTCCAAATTATTATTAGTATCATTATTATTCGACGCAAAGGTTTTATAGCCTCCTTACGGGTAGGACATTAAGTAAACAAGCGGAATTTGAGCAAGAGCGTCCAGTAAAACAACATAATTAAAAGCTGGAGAGATTGCCGTTCCAGACTTACCCACAGCTCTTAGAGTTCTTATCTAGTACACTTTGAGTGTTATTAAATACTCTCACAAAGCAGATCAAGAAAAATACTAAAAAGTAGGCGCAGGGGATACTAGTGGCCAGCCAACTGAAGTAAAATAAAACTTTCAGATCTCCTCGGAACAGCAGGGATAGCGCAACAAAGCACAAGCTGGAAAGGTGAAAAAATAAAATAGAAGATTAAGCCATATAAGACATAATAAATTAAAAAAGGTAAAGGTATATCCTTTTACCTTACGTATTTGTAACCAGAATACGAGAAAAAATCTAAACAACTATAATTGCCACGCACAGTGAGAAAGTAAAAGCTCAAGTAAAGGATTCCCACCTCAAGCAGTAACCTGAAGGGTATAGTTATCATAAAGTGTAATTGTGGAACAATAAGATTATAACGCTATGCTATTACCACAAAAGAGCTGAAGAAGCCACGAGACCGAGTTTTTCTGGGGTAAACGTATTATTCTTTCCAAAGTAGGCGCCGCACAGTAACACATAAGTAACAAAGGAGATGACTTATCCATAAAATTAGAAGTTATTAATATATATAAATTATAATAGTGTAAGAGCTCCTGCATCATATGTAAGCTCGTGGGAAAGCTTTGCATAGCCTAATTAGTTAGCATTGAGTAGAAAAAAGGTATACCCGGTAAATATAAGTCTGGTGCGTTAATATCTTCGTTAGGAGTGATGAAAGATGGTATGCCTGAAGACGTGCCAATGACTTCCTTTCTTTTCCAGTCCTTTAAAAATTAGATAAACAAAGTAATTTATAGTTACCGCTAAGTTGGTAACCTTATGTCGATAAGGGAAAAGTAAAAGGATAATTTTATAAGAAACGTAGGTAGTGTTCACTTGAAAATAATACTTTACAGAGTCAATCCAAGCTCCAACCTTTTAAATCTTATAAGGTCAACGAAGTGATAAATTTAATAATATTATACTTCATGCGCACGTTCCTGAAATCTAATACTAGCCATTCCAGGTACAAAGTTAGTAAACATAGTGCTTCCTTTAAAAAAAATAAATAAACGAGATATCAGGTAGATAAGTCGTAATATAAAAAACTGCAATAAATAGCGCTAGTAACAATAAGAATGACCTACCAAGAGCGCTCATAGGGAAGTAAGACTGTTTATCAAGATAGTTAGAGTGTTGCAAAGGTGGAAAAGTTTGAAAAGTTGAAGCTTGCGAATATAAAGGCTCGGGCATCTGGGAGAAAGCAGACTTCTGTGATTCAGAACTTTGCTGAAAAGATGAAAACTGAGGAGCAGTATTTGATGTTGCAAATCCAGGGGAATACGTTTCACTTGAGTTTGTGGAATAATGAGAATCTGGATGTAAGCTGGGTAACTCATTCAAATGTGATATACGAACTTCCGGTGCCGTAGAAAGATACGGTTCTTTAGGATAAATGGAAGGTTCAAGATAACCCGGTTGATAGTGGGCTGAAGAACCTTCTTGATAATCGTAGTAGTTGTAGGACTGATTCGGTTGATTTATAAACCTAAAGTGCGGAGAGTTATTATGACTGTTCTTTTCGGTGTTATTACTCATACCAAAAAATATATTATAAATTAAGTTAAAGTTGTAAAAAGTTTAAAATCATTAATATTAAAAAGAATCAGAAAAGGATGGAGAGTTTTAAAAGTACTAACACCAATTTTAAAAAAGCATATAAATGCGAAACTGTAAAACTCTTTCCCCCCCCCCCCCCCATTAATGAAATGAGTTTTTAACCACCAAATTAAGGGCCCTAGTTCGTTTTTATTACACAGCGCGTGCAGTAAGCACAATTAAGTCCCCAAAATTCTCTCAACTAATTAAAAATGCATATTGGTGCTTAATACCATTTATATATATATATATATATGAAAACCTGGCTACCAAAAATACTGATATAAAATGGAAAATATGAAATTTTATTCTTTTTTAAACAAAAGTAGCTAATGTGTCTAAGTCTTGTGTCAACTTTGCTTGTCAAACATGAAACTATTGGAAAATATTAAAGAAAGATACATACTGTTCATTTATGGTTTCACTAAAAAAAATTACTACCACTTTTATGCTTTAAATTCTTACACCAACCTCTGAACTCCCATCATTGAAGCCTCTATAAGGCATTCAATTTTATAGATAACCCATAATCATTTGAAGAAGTTAATAAAAAATATTAGCACAAAAAAGTAATGATAAACGGAATATAAGAGTCCTAAAGGCAGGGTGGTGAGATTATTGGTCAAGGGATTGGTAACTTAAAAGTTCACCGAACTCTTTGGAAAAATATTGCATTAAAAACAAGTATCCTATTGACCAGTAGTTAATAGTTCATTGGCCAGCAAAAGTTAATGAACTAAAGGTTGCTATATACAAAATAAGCTGTTTTTAGTAAACATGCCATTAATAGATCTGTTTTAAAATTTGACATCGGCTGGCATGCTATCGAAACTATTTTGTTTCAATCATTCTTAATGGGTAAAAAAGTCTATTCGGGATTTATTTAGTTCGTAGCATTTATATATGTAATCCTTGCAAAATGAGAGCGACTAATTTAGGCTATACTTCGTGTGTTTTGTACAATTCTTTTACACTACGTTGTCCCACTCGTGTTAGAGAGCATAAATATATTAAATTAATATGATTACTTAATTAATAGCAAGAGATTGTTATACACACACCTAATTATTATCAAGTAATTTAAAATTGCATTTAAGTTGCTTGTTAGTGGAAATAACTTGAGTCAAATTTTTAAATGACTGACCCAAATTTTAGTTTTTCACGCATTTTTTAGTTAAAACTCTCGCCCTTTCCGCGTAGTGTCTAACTATAGCGCCTAAAAAAGGTCACGAAGAATAACAAGAATTATATATCAAGTTTTTTGTGTTGCTTTCCAGATATACAATCGAACACGCATTTGATCAACTACCACACAAAAGTCCAACCCTGGCGCAAGCTTCAACACACACAAGAAAAAGGGTTCCTGCGGGTTCCTACACAGAGGCTATTTATAGCCTCGAGAACATTCTACTAGCACACACATTCGAAAAAAGACGAATGGCAATATGCTTCTTGTTTTTGAACCCCTTTATGGAGGACTGATTAGTCTACTCGTATTTGAATAGCGTCACCTGTCCCGTTACTCGCTTAATAGAATCTCAACCGTATTACCTCTTTAGTTGTTTTACAATAAGCCCTAAGTTCGGCATCCATTGTAGGGAAAACGGCAATGTTATTTTCAATGTCACTTTTGCTATAACTTTCTAATATTATACCGTCGTGTTACTTAAAGTGATTTTATAGGGTTCTTTAACGACCAGATATCTCATATTCTAACAGAAATCCAATTGACTCTTAAAGGTCTGCTGATTTCCTTGGTAACATCCTTGCTACAAACGATATATTTCGTCTAAATACACTATTTAAAAGAGTATATTTTTTTAAAGGCTTTGCGTCACTCATGCCAAATTTATTAATTTCGTACATATTTTTTCGAATCTATTTTGTAGGATGCCTTCCCAAGAATTGTTACGTTTAAAATTTATTTAGTTTACCTGGTCGTTTTAAACTTTAATCCTACATCTTAGATAATAACCACCATAGAAAATTTAATTACTACCATATAATCCTGATAGTTATGATTAATTTTGTGTCCTGGGTTAGGCGCAGTACTAGTAAATAATTTTTCGTGAAGCCCAATAAAATTTATCTCGTTTTGCTTCTTCCTCTTTGTCCACGTGTTTTTTATCTTATATTTATTTGAAACCGTTTAGTTGATGTATCTCTTAATTACTTGACACCACAAGCAACTAAACAATCATTAATCTACAAAATAAGCGTTATAAGGTCGCCATCCTTTTCATCATATACAAATAGAAGCCATCGTTACATTGTTGGCAACAAACTGAACTAAAGTATTGTGCATTGTTAAATTTCATAGTAAAAAGGGTCTTTCAAATTTGGAGAAAACTTAATTATTTCCACGCAGTTAAAACTGCGATAATTTAAAGAAATACGTGATATCTTCTGAAGGAGGGACGCGTACAAAGAAAAAATTTAATAGTTTTAAGCTTAGCAACGTCGAAAACCCATTTGCTAACAACTTTTCCCCCTTCCTTTTGGTAAGATGGCGAGAGCCCAGATATAAGGTTTGGTAAGAAGACCGAATACCTGATTCACAGCTCGCAGTCATTCCTTTTTATATTCGCAGCCCAGGGGTTCCTTATACGTCCTGGCCTGCAAGCGTCGCGCACATTTGAAGTTACAGCTTGAAATAATTAAGCTGTTAACACTATCTAATTTAATTACTCTTGTTTCCCTATCAGCTCCTCAATTAGCTTTCATCTGTATTTTTTTAATGTAGCTTTAAACTTCTATTATGCCTTTTTTACTACTTTAAAGTTATCTACGTAAGTTAATAAGTATTAGTAGGCTATTTCTACTATAAAAACTCTTCTGACTTCGAAATAAGTGCTCCGGTGTCGCATCTATCCCTTTTTGGCTATTGCGAACGCTTGATAGGTTTATAATTTAAGTGACTCGTTACTGCTCAATCCACAGACAACCTTATTTTTATAAAGTATAGCGCATCCCTGCTGGAAAAAACTTTATTAGCTTGTGCATCATTTTAAAAAAATGTCAAGCTGAGTCCCAACCAACTATGTAGGCTATCTTGGCTCGTTCCTCTAGTTCTAATAAAAAGTTTTGGCACCAAAAATTCGAAATTTATTCATGTTCAATTTATGGTGGCTCAATATTTTATGTGCAGTTAAATGAGACTGAGTATAACAGCGCTTTCTCCCACAGCGACTTTGGTAAGTTATATACTTTCTTCGCGGTGTGTAGGGAAGTGGGTGAGTCATTGTAACCCCTCTTGGGTTTAGCTTACCTAGTAAACTAGACAAGAACTTCTTAGCATTACTAAGTCTTAAAGTACCATGCCTTACTGGTTTAACTAAGGCATCAATAAAATTTGTAATAATTCAGTTTTGTCTGTATCCACTACATATAAAAATAAAGTTGCTATGGCACCCCGTTTAATGATTTTACGCTATCAACTAATTTGAATCCAGTATGTTGGTTGCTCGACGCTAGCCCTTATCATAAATTTTGTTCTTTACAATTGGCTATTAGTCAACGTTCGCCAAAAATAATATAAGAGCGGATTTTTATTACATTAAGATTAACGACTAGTTTTATTTTGTGTCCCGTGCAAAAAAACCGTCCTGCAAAGTTATTGTTATAAAATTAGAGACTTACCACAATTTCCTACGTAACGTAAAAGGTTTTTCACACTCGTCCCCCTTAAATAAAAAATGGTAAATCCATTTTTAATAAGTTTACTAACAATATTAGGCTTTTCATTGCCATAATATATTAACACCACCTTTATTAATGGCACGAACGATGACCTCGTTGATAGTTGTCATAAGCTTTTAAATATAGCACTACTGACATAAACAGATTCTCGTATCATTAAATAAATGTAGACGGGCATAACTGTCAATTATGATAGTTCGATGCAAAATTCAATCTGTAATTATTTAAAAAAAAAAGGATATTTCATAATAACCAATATTGTACTTAAGGAAAGGATAATGAGAATAATAATTTAAAAAGTTAATATTATAACAAGTAGAACCTCTATCAAAGTTAATTATTGAATGCAGTGTGTCTTTTACAATAAATGTGATTATGAGCTCTCTTAAACACATTTCATATCTAGGGTGTATATTTTCACGAAAGCGTTGCTTGGGGATCAGCAGTCTCATGGTTACCGCACACTTGCTCTCCTCACCGTATCATTAGAAAACAATTTAGCCTTGATCTCATGGTCCAGTATGCTGGCCGCAGCGGATTGGAAATTAGTACAACCTGTGCATCTATGATGGTGAGGAATTTGCGGTATTCTGGTGATATTCTTTTTAAAAAGGCAATAAAGTAGGAAAACTTTCACGAAAGACATTTCTGTGTTGTCTGCTTAAAAACCTGATTTCATTTACAACTTCTTTAATGTTAGTGTAATTATCAAGTTGTAAACTGTATAATTTCTTCTTAATTATACGTTTAAAAAATGATTTTTCCCTCAAAGTCAAAGTCATTAGAGAGCCTAATCTTCAGAGAAAAGGTGAGGGACCATTAATTTATTTTTTTATTATTGGTATTGAGTCAACAAAATTCGAATAAGAGTAGTTTCGTATATAATTTAATTAAAGATTTATCATATCTAGTATTTAAAGAAAATTGCAGGGTACGTGATCTTCCCTTGAGAATTAGATTTCAGCTACGGACAATAACCAATTGGGAGAGGGGATTACGCAAAATTGATCGCAACTTCTGGTTCCTCCCATTGGCTTAATTTTTTCAAGGGAACGTCATTATATATATTTACAGGTTAAATTTTCTGCTCATTCCAAGATACCTTCCCTCAGTTCACGGCGTTACTTATAAGTGAAAAACAAATATTTACAATATTTAGGAACAAGCATAATCCTTGACCTAACGATAGTTTCACGTTAATACAGAATTAAGCATTAGTGAAGTCGAACTGCAACTGCCGTAAAC